TTTATTTACCTTATTTGTATACCGCCTTTCTCAGCCCGGCGGCAACTCAAAGCAGTTCACAATCGGCAACACTGTGATGCCTCAACAATTATAAAATAATTAAAAACAATAATAAAATACTATCTAAACATTTAACATACAATATAAAATCCACACAGAGCCATAAAACATTGTTATAAGCGTCTCCTTGCCAAAGTCATTATCCAATTGAAGTCCAAAATAACTTGGAGGGCCAAAGTTTGCCCATGCCTGTCCTACAGTCATTTTAGTCAGGTTTAAGATCCCACTCATGGAAAATGTAGCTACTTATTGTGAAGTGCTACAATACATCCAGGATGTATCTACACTGTAGAATCAATGCATTATCCAACCTTTGGCTATTTGATTTTTCAAGAAGAACCATTCATAGTGGCACCTTTTCAGGATGAATCCTTTTCCTTTTGTTTGCTCTCTCCACCTCCCACCTTTGTTACTCATCCTGTTTGCTCACAGTTCTGTCATCTATGGCTAACTCAGACTTGTAATCCACACTTCCTTCTCAGACCAACCTCACCAAGGGAAAAGAGAAGCCAAGCATTCCTGGAAGCTGCCAATCCTTCTTTTCTTTTGATCTGGACCAGGAATTGACAAACTTCGGCCTTCCGGGTGTTTTGGACTTCAACTCCCACAATTCCTGTTAGGAATTGTGGGAGTTGAAGTCCAAAACACCTGAAAGGCCAAAGTTTGCCCATGCCTGGCCCAGACAGATCTCAATGCTCCCTTTGCAGACTCGAATCCAGTACTCTTGTTGTTGACACTGCTTTCTCAAAACAAAAGAATAAAATCAGAGCACTGGAATCACGAGCTTTTCAGATGCAAACAGTTAGACCACACTGACTTCCTAACAAACTCAAAGTTTGGTTGCTGTAAGTTTTCTGGGTTGTATGACCATGTTCCAGAAGCATTCCCTCCTGACGTTTTTCTTTATCTATGGCAGGCATCCTCAGAGGTTGTGAGGTCTGTTGGAAACTAGGAAAGTTTATATATCTTCCTAGTTTCCAACAGATCTCACAACCTCTGAGAAAGCCCGCCATAGATGTGGGTGAAACGTCAGGAGAGAATGCTTCTGGAACATGGCCATACAGTCCAGAAACTTAAAGCAACACAGTGATTCCGGCCATGAAAGCCTTCAACAATACAAACTCAAACTTCCTCCTCTATTGGACAACAAGAAATGTTTTGAGGGGGCATCTACACTGTAGACTTAACCCAGTTTGACACCACTTCAACTGCCATGGGTCTATGCTGTGGAATCATGGGAGCTTTAGTTTTGCGAGGTCGGTAGCCTTCTCTGTCAAAGAGTGCTGGTTCCTCACCAAACCACAACACCAAAGTGGTCTCAAACAGCATTGATTCTATAGCGTAGATACATTCTGAATGCATTGTAGCATAAGTAACTACCTTTTCCATGAGTGGGATCTTAAACTTGTATACCGATACAGACTAAAATGACTATAGGACAGGCATGGGCAAACTTTGGCCCTCCAGGTGTTTTGGACTTCAAGTCCCACAATGGGCTGTTAGGAATTGTGGGAGTTGAAGTCCAAAACACCTGGAGGGCCGAAGTTTGTCCATCCCTGTCCTATAGGAGCATCTACACTGTAGAATCAATGCAATCTGACACAACTTTTAACTACTATGGCTCAATGCTATGGAATCAAGGGAGCTGTAGATTAGTGAGGCATCAGCACTCTTGGGCAGAGAAGGCTAAAGAGCCTGTAAAACTACACATCCCAGGATTCTAAAAGTAAAGTTTTTCCCCTGACATTAAGTCTAGTCATGTCAGACTCTGGGGGTTGGTGCTCATCTCCATTTCTAAGTTGAAGAGTCGGCATTATTCATAGACACCCCCAGGATCTTGCGGCTGGCATGACTACATGGAGCACTGTTGCCTTCCCGCTGGAACAGTACCTACTGATCTACTCACATTTGCATGTTTTTGAACTGCCCAGGATTATATTTATTATATTTATTATATTTATTATATTTATTATATTTATTATTATTATATTTATTATTATTATTATTATTATTATTATTATTATTATTATCATCATCATCATTATAAACACAAAGAGATGAGTCCACAGCAAACAAGATCATTCTGCCAGATATTGTATTGATTCACACGTCGGACACTTCCCAAGTGTCTAGGACTGTGTGATGTATCCGTGAATAATGCGTGCAGATCATAGAATCATAGAGTTGGAAGAGACTTCATGGACCATCCAGTCCAACCCCCTGCCAAGAAGCAGGAATATTGCATTCAAATCACCCCTGAGAGATGGCCATCCAACTTCTGTTTAAAAACCTCCAAAGAAGGAGCCTCCACCACACTCCGGGACAGAGAGTTCCACTGCTGAACAGCTCTCACAGTCAGGAAGTTCTTCCTAATGTTCAGGTGGAATCTCCTTTCTTGTAGTTTGAAGCCATTGTTCTGCGTCCTAGTCTCAGGGCAGCAGAAAACAAGTTTGCTCCCTCCTTCCTATGACATCCCCTCATATCTTGATACATGGCTATCATGTCTCCTCTCAGTCTTCTCTTCTTCAGGCTAAACATGCCCAGCTCTTTAAGCCGCTCCTCATGATCAAGGTTCTCCAGACCCTTGATCATTTTAGTCACCCTCTTCTGGACACATTCCAGCTTGGCAATATCTCCCCTCAATTGTGGTGCCCAGAATTGGACACAATATTCCAGTAAGGTGGCCTTTTGCAGCTGGCAGATGGTAATTTTGTCAGCGCTGATTGTGTTTAAGTGCAAGCCAAGGTCTTAGGCACTGCACCCGTTGTGCCAATCACCACTGGAGCCACCTTTACTGACTTGTGCCAGAGTCTTTGTAGTTACATTATTATTATTATTATTATTATTATTATTATTATTATTATTATTATTACTATTACTATTACTAAATAATTATTATTAATTCTGTATTATACAATACAATATTCTATTGTTGTTATTGTATTATAAATGTATTATTATTGTATTGTTGTAGGCTGTCATGGCCGGAATCACTGGGTTGCTGTTGGCAGAGAAGGCTACAGGCCTTGTAAAACTAAAGCTCCCATGATTCCACAGCATTGAGCCACGGCAGTTGAAGTGGTGTCAAACTGGGTTAAGTCTAGAGTGTAGATGCCCCTTAAAATGTTTCTTGTCCGATAGAGGAGCGAGTTTGAGTCTGTATTGTCAAAGGCTTTCATGGCTGGAATCACTGGGTTGCGATAAGTTTTCCAGGCTTTATGGCCACGTTCCAGAAGCACTCTCTCCTGATATTTTGCCTACATCTATGGCAGGCATCCTCAGAGGTTGTATTATTCTTCTATAGAATTGTGCAGGGCAGGTAAAGTGGTGTCAAACTGCACTGATTCTACACCCCACTGCACCCAGTGTGCCCATCACCACTGGGACCACCTTTACTGGCTTGTACCAGAGTCTTTGCAGTTATTGTTATTGTATTATTATTATTACTGTATTATACAATACATTATTGTATTATTATTATTATTATCATCATTGTATTGTAAGTGTATTATTATTGTATTGTCGTAGGCTTTCATGGCCGGAATCACTGGGTTGCTGTAAAATTTCCAGGCTGTATGGCCATGTTCCAGAAGCACTCTCCCCTGACATTTCGCCTGCATCTATGGCAGGCATCCTCAGAGGTTGTATTATTATTCTATAGAATTGAGCAGGGCAGGTAAAGTGGTGTCAAACTGCACTGATTCTACACCCCACTGCACTCAGTGTGCCGATCACCACTGGGACCACCTTTACTGGCTTGTACCAGAGTCTTTGCAGTTATTATTATTGTATTATTATTATTACTACTGTATTATACAAAAGATTATTGTATTAATATTATTATCATTGTATTGTAAGTGTATTATTATTGTATTGTCGTAGGCTTTCATGGCCAGAATCACTGGGTGCTGTGAGTTTTCCGGGCTGTATGGCCACGTTTCAGAAGCACTCTCTCCTGACATTTTGCCTGCATCTATGGCAGGCATCCTCAGAGGTTGTATTATTATTCTATAGCATTGAGCAGAGCAGGAAAAGTGATGTCAAACTGCACTGATTCTACACCCCACTGCACCCAGTGTGCCGATCACCACTGGGACCACCTTTACTGGCTTGTACCAGAGTCTTTGCAGTTATTATTATTGTATTATTATTATTAATGTATTATACAATACATTAAAGATAAAGGTAGTCCCCTGACATTAAGTCCAGTCATGTCTGACTCTGGGGTGTGGTGCTCATCTCCATTTCTAAGCCGAAGAGCCAGCGTTGTCCGTAGACACCTCCAAGGTCATGTGGCTGGCATGACTGCATGGAGCGCCGTTACCTTCCCGCCGGAGCGGTACCTATTGATCTACTCACATTGCATTTTTTCGAACTGCTAGGTTGGCAGAAGCTAGGGCTGACAGCGGAAGCTCACGCCGCTCCCCGGAATCGAACCTGCGACCTTTCGATCAACAAGCTCAGCAGCTCAGTGCTTTTAACCCACTGTGCCACCGGGGGCTCCTATATACAATACATTATTGTATTATTATTATTATTATCATTATTATCATTGTATTATATGTGTATTATTATTATTGTATTGTCGAAGGATTTCATGGCCGGAATCACTGGGTTGCTGTGAGTTTTCCAGGCTGTATGGCCACGTACCAGAAGCACTCTCTCCTGACATTTCGCCTGCATCTATGGCAGGCATCCTCAGAGGTTGCACTATTATTCCATAACATTGAGCAGGGCAGGTAAAGTGGTGTCAAACTGCACTGATCCCACACCCCAAATCCTTCTGTCAGTCAACCAAGGGATCTATCTGCCAGCCCAGAGATCCTCTCATTAGGCAACACTACCTTTCTGGGAAATCTCTTTCCTCTGCTATTTCGAATTCTACTTTTTTGATGGACCCTTCTCTCCCCAAAAGCAAGTCTCCCCATTAGTTTCCTCACCTCTTTCCATCTCAGCAGCCAAAACAGCACCATCCGATTCCCACCATCCGCTCAATCAACTCCACGCCCTGCTCAGCTCTGTCCTAGCAAGGGTTAAAAGGGCGGGGAAAAGCCCAAGCCACGCCCACTCCTCCACCGCCCTCCTTCCCTACCGTATTTCTTGTAAGGGGAGCTCAGCAGGAAAAGTTGCAAAAATAACACCATTCTTTTCCTTCTCCCATTTAAAAGGTGGGAGAAGGGGGGAAAGGTAGAGAAGAGGAGGTGGGAGGAGAGGAGGGAAAAAAGAGCCTGAATAGAGTATTTTTCCCCTTCTTTTCTTCTTTCTTTCTGTGTGTGCGTCCCTCACCCCCCATTGGCCAACCCAGCCCTGGGATGGAATTTCCTGAAAAGTTTCTTTCCCAGAGAAAGTAATCAGTTCCAGATGGGAAGGGAGCCGAGTGGTTGGTGGGGAGGGATTGGTGAAATAGATAGAATGAGACAGGGGGAGAAAGGGAGGAGGGGAGATGGATGGCAGAGGGGAAAAGAGAGTGGGGGGAATGAACAGGAAAGGGAATTAAGGATAGGGAAGAGAAGGAAATGGATTAAAAGGGAAGAAAAAGACCAGGAGAAATGGAAAAAGAAGGCAGAGGATGGAGGCTGATTTTTGTAGGAATATGGCCAAGTACATGAGGAAGAAAAGTGCATCCACATTGTAGAATTAATGCAGTTTGAAACTGTTTTAACTGCCATGGGTTAATGCTATGGACTTGGGATTGATAGTTTGGTCATGCACCAGTACTTTTTGCAGCAGGTTAAAATCATAGAGCTGGAAGAGACCTCTTGGGTCATCCAGTCCAACAAGAAGCAGAAAAATCGCATTCAAAGCACCCCCAACAGATGGCCATTCAGCCTCTGCTTAAAAGCCTCCAAAGAAGGAGTTTCCACCACACCACAGAGAGTTCCACTGCTGAACGGCTCTCACAGTTAGGAAGTTCTTCCTCATGTTCATGTTGAAGCCTCTGTTTAAAAGCCTCCAAAGAAGGAGCCTCCACCACACTCTGGGGCAGAGAGTTCCACTGCTGAACAACTCTCTCAATTAGGAAGTTCTTCCTCATGTTCATGTTGAAGCCTCTGTTCAAAAGCCTCCAAAGAAGGAGCCTCCACCACACTCTGGGGCAGAGAGTTCCACTCCTGAACAGCTCTCACAATTAGGAAGTTCTTCCTCATGTACAAGTCGAAGCCTCTGTTTAAAAGCCTCCAAAGAAGGAGCCTCCACCACTTTCCGGGGCAGAAAGTTCCACTGCTGATCAGCTCTCATGGTTAGGAAGTTCTTCCTCATGTTCAGGTGGAATCTCCTTTCCTGTAGTTTGAAGACATTGTTCCGTGTCCTAGTATCCTGGCCAACAGAAAACAAGCCTGCTCCTTCGTCCCTGTGACTTCTCCTCACATCTTGATACATGGCCCTCATCATGTCTCCTCTCAGCCTTCTCTTCTGAAAGCTAAACATGCCCAGCTCTTTAACCCACACCTCATAGGGCTTGTTCTCCAGACCCTTAATCATTTTAGTCAATCTCCGTTGGATGCATTGCAACATCTCTCTTCAATTGCAATGCCCAGAATTGGACACAGTATTCCAGGTGTGGTCTGACCAAGGTGGAATAGTGTGGTAGCATGATTTCCCTGGATCTAGACACTAGACTCCTATTTATGCAGGCCAAAATACCATTGGCGTTGTTTGCCACTGCAGGACATTGTTGGCTCATGTTTAACTTGTTGTCCACGAGGCCTCCAAGATTGTTTTCACACGTACTGCTGTCGAGCCAGGAACCCCCATTCTGTATCTTTGCATTTCATTGTGTTCCACCTAAGTGGAGTATCTTGCATTTGTCCCTATTGAACTTCATTTGTGTTAGTTTTGGCCCATCTCTCCAATCTGTCAAGATCATTTTGAATTCTGCTTCTGTCTTCTGGAGTATTGTCTATCCCTCCGAATCTGCAAACTTGATCATCATGCCTTCTAATCCTTCATCTAAGTCAGTGGTTCTCAATCTGTTTGTCCCCAGATGCTTTGGCCTTCAACTCCCAGAAATCCTAAAAGTTGGTAAACTGCTTGGGATTTCTGGGAGTTGTAGGCCAAAACACCTTGSGGACCCACTGATCTAAGTCATTAATAAAGATGTTGAACAGCATCGGGCCCAGGACGGAAYCCTGCTGATGGCAYTCYGCTCCTAATTTCTTTCYAGGATGAAAAGRAAGCATTGGGGCKATTCACCATTTGGGTTCGTTCGTTTAACTATTTACAGATCYACCTAACCGTAGTTTTGCCTAGCCCACATTTRACTAGCTTGTTTGYCAGAAGGTCATGGGGGACCTTGTCGAAGRYCWTCCTAAAATCCAGATACACTACATCCACGGCCTTCCCTGCATCGGGAGGCCCTGCTCTCRCTCCYGCCTCCYTYGCAGSCATGATTGGYGGGGACRRGRGAGAGGGCCTTCTCCATGGTGGCCCCCYGACTCTGGARCTCACTCCCCAAGGATATYAGACAAGTCCCCACATTGGCARTCTTTAGGAGGAGCCTGAAAACGTGGCTGTTCCARTGTGCCTTCCYTGAATAAAGGAACAAYCCCCTGMAAAATACCCTGRAAAGCACTTTAATTAMCCATTGGGTTGCTCTCTACTCTTGGTTTAAAACCCTCMTACTAGATACATCCTTTGYTCATGTCCAGCATTTACTTTTAAAKTTTTAACTATTACATCTGKCCCAGCCATAGGTTTTTAAATTCTTCTGCGTTATTGTCCATGTCTGAGTTATACTAATTGTATTATTTATTTTGCCTTTTGCTTGTTGTTCTTACTATTGCTTGTTGTTTTATCATGGGTTTTTGGGCTTGGCCTCATGTAAGCCGCTCCGAGTCCCTTGGGGAGATGGTGGCGGGATATAAATAAAGTATTATTATTATTATTATTATTATTATTATTATCTATCCAGCTTTCTAGAATTAATGCAGTAGAATCTTGGGATTAATAGTTTTGTGATGCACCAGCACTCTTTGGCACAGAAGGTTAAAGTCCTTGTAAAAACTACAACTCCTATGATTCCATTGCAATGATCATATAAATACCTTTGCCAGAAAAATTAATAATAATAATAAATTATCATCAATTTTATATCTGCTATATGATATAGCACAGGCATGGTCAAACTTGGACCCTCCAGGTGTTTTGGACTTCAACTCCCACCATTCCTAACAGCCTCAGGCCCCTTCCTTTTCCCCCTCAGCCGCTTAAGCGGCTGAGGGGAAAAGGAAGGGGCCTGAGGCTGTTAGGAATGGTGGGAGTTGAAGTCCAAAACACCTGGAGGGTCCAAGTTTGCCCAAGCCTGATAGAGCAGCTTATGCCTATCCATATGTCTAATAGTTGGGTCCACCTTGCTGAAAGTAATGCCCAAGGGCTTCTACCCACTGTATGAATTTAGTTCCGCACACGCATATATTAAGAATCATGCCATGTTGCGGGAATCTCATTTTACAGACTTCCATGCCAGAGTTCGACAGATGGAAATTACGAGGGCAGCTTACAATAAAACAGCTATGTCCGATCCATATGTTACAAATTAATTCCCATGCAGATGTGCCACATTAGTCTTGTGAAAAAGCATGAAGCAACCCTGAAGGAATTAAGTGTGGGGAAAGGGAGGAAAAGAAAAAGTAAGGAGGGGATGGGGAAAGCGAAGATGGAGGAGGTGGGAAGAGAAAGAATGGAAAGAAGGTCACCGGGGAAAGGAGAAGAGGAAGAGGGTTAGGAATGCAAGGCAGCAAATGCTAAATCAATTCAATGGTCCATCTTAAGGAAATCCTACAGAATTCATAGGAAAGCAGTAGCCATCTCATAGACTTCTTAGCCAGAAGCTGCTTATTTGGTGGCACATGGTTTCTGAATATACGTGGGTAGGTCAAAAAGTTTTGCCTCCTGTGTCATAAAAACGTTATGAATGAACATATAACAGCAGAAGTTGCTACAGATTATAGCCTGAACTGTCTTCTACGCAAAACTCCCATAGTCACCATCAGTTTGTACACATTTGCGCCATTGTTGAACCCAGTCATGAAAATCATTTTGGAAAAATTCAGGATTTTGCTTCGTGACCCATTATTTTAAAGCTCTTAAACGCCATTCAAGTCATTGAATCTGAAACCATGTAGGTTGTCTTTCAGAGGTCCAAACAGGTCAAAGTCAGAAGGGGCCAAATCATAAACATTCTTATTATGGATTTCCTTAGGTGCACAACCTTTCTTTTTTGCCAGAAATTCAATGACGACTCTTTCTTTTAGCTTCAGATTCATGGTTCTAATCGGTCAATCGGAAAAAGAAAAGACGATATCAGTAGAGTAAGGCTAGCTCTATCATATAATGCATAGATAGTCTAGTAGCTGTGAAAGAAGGAAAAGTTAGAGTGATGGAGGCATTATTTTTTACCCACCCTCATATATGGTAGATAGAATCATAGAATCAAAGAGTTGGAAGAGACCTCATGGGCCATCCAGTCCAACCCCCTGCCAAGAAGCAGGAATATTGCATTCAAATCACCCCTGTCAAATGTCCATCCAGCCTCTGCTTAAAAGCTTCCAAAGAAGGAGCCTCCACCACGATGCGATGGATAACAACCATAGATAAAGCTGTATGCAATGAACAGATACCAATCCAATCCAATGAACAGATACAGTCCAAGGAACTATACTGCAGAATGAATGCAATTCAATATCACTTTAACTGCCATGGCTCAATAAAATGAATTATGGCAGTTGGTGCAGCAGGTTAAACTGCTGAGCTGCTGAACTTGCTGACCGAAAGGTCAGTGGTTCGAATCCGGATCAGCTTCTGCCAACCTAGCAATTCAAAAACTTGCAAATTTGAGTAGATCAATAGGAACCGCTTCTGTGGGAAGGTAACAGCACTCCATGCAGTCATACCGGCCACATGACCTTGGAGGCGCCTATGGTCAATGCTGGCTCTTTGGCTTAGAAATCGAGATAAGCAGCATCCCCCAGAGTCGGGCACAATTAGTCTTAATGTCAGGTGAGAATGCTGGAGTCTCATCAAACGACAACTTCTGGGATTCCATAGCATTTAGCCAGCCTAGTCAAAGGGATGTCAAATATGTGAGGGGAAGTCATCGGGAGGAGGGCAAGCTTGATTTCTGCTGCCCTGGAGACTAGGATGCAGGACAATGGCTTCAAATTACAGGAAAAG